GGGGGGGGGGGGGGGGTCTTCTGCTTTACACACCAGTGCACCCGCGTTCATTTTTTTTCGCTTTTCTGCACGAATTTAATTAAAATAAATTAAATTAATTTAATTTAATTAATTAAATTGTTTAAAACTTTCTCTGGCCTCTTTTAAACGGTGAAAATACACCTGAAATACGTCGATTGTGCAAGACCATCGGTGCACGCATCGCGGTGCAGCTCTTTGCTCTTTCTCGGGTGTATATACAGCTCAAAACAAAAACTAAAATTTAATTTTTTGTTGAAATAAATAAATTAAATTAGAATATATTCAATTAAATTAAATTATAATAGCGCACACTTCATCCAAATGAATGGCGACACAGTAACGCACACATACATATAATATATATATACTATATATATATATATTATATATATATATACATATATATTTATATATATGAATATGTACATGTATATATATAATACATATTTTACGTATATTATATAAAGAAAATATATACGTATTTCCATACTTCATACAAACAAATACAATACGCTAAACAAATAAAACTGTATATAAATTAAATTATGTGTTTATATATTTTTTTTTCTTTTTTTGTTATTTCCTCCTTAAACAACAAAAAAAGAAAAAAAAATAAAAACCAGAAAAAAAAGAAAAAACGATCGTTTTTCTCTCTTTCTGCTGCACATGTCTAAACCCTCATCCTCGCTAAACCCTCACAGCCCCCCTTTCTAGGGTTTAGGGTTTAGGGTTTAGGGTTTAGACATTGTTTAAGTTCTTGCTCGGAGAAAGAAAGCATCTCGCAGCTGCGTACTCTGCTAGACACACGCAGACCCCCTGCTGCTGCGTGCCAGTCGTATAGAGCGAATGCCATAGGTGAGGAGTTTATAGATAAGCCTAGTATATAAGCTGTGTTTCCGTTTATATCTTTTTTTTTTATTTTTATTTTTATTTTTTCTTTTTCTTTTTTTTCTTTATTCTCTTTCTCTCTCCCTTCTCTCTCTATCTCCGCCCAGCTGCTGGCACCCACAAAAGGGGAGAACGTCTGCTGCAGGCTGTATTCGAAGGCAAACTGCGGCTCTGCTGCTGCTCCTGCTGCTGCTGCTGCTGCTGCTGCTGCTGCTGCAGCAGCAGCAGCAGAGCTGCTGTTGATCTCCCAGGGGCCCACAAAACCATACAGAGGCAAACTAAACTGAATGTAGTCTTTTAATGCGAGAGGGAGATGTCGTTGCTTTGCTGCTGCTGCTGCTGCTGCTGCTTCTGCTGCTGCTGCTGCTGATTCTGCTGCTTCTGCTGCTGCTGCTGAAGGGCCAAAGATAAGGGCCCCCAGAGCCGGGTTGTTGCCGTGAATAGGAGACAGAGAAGGGGCCCCCAGCAGCACTACTGCTGCTGGTGCTGCAGCATGCGAGGAGGTATCTGCTGCTCCTGCTGCTTCTCCTCCTGCTGCTGCTGCCCCTGCTGCTGCTGCTGCTGCTGCTGCTGCTGCTGCTGCTGTCTCCTCTTCCTTAGGCACCAGGGAACGCAAACGCCCAAAATGAATGTGGCCGAAGGCCTCCACCAAATGCACATCCGCGTAGCGCGTCACCAGCGAACGATACCTAGCAACACAAACCCTAAACCCTAAACCCTAAACCCTAAACCCTAAACCCTAAAACCTAAACCCTAAACCCTAGACACTAAAGGATAGAAGCAGACAGAAACAAACCAAATGGAAACGAGAAAACGGGGGGACCCAAAAGGGACCCCCAGGAGACCCTTAAACCCTAAACCCTAAACCCTAAACCCTAGACCCTAAACCCTAAACCCTAAACCCTAAACCCTTTCAGAAGGGGGGCCCCATGACAAGAGGGGCGGGGCCCCTTCTTAAGGGGCCCCCTGCATAGGGGGGCCCGTGCTGAGGGTCCCCCAAGCTCGCGGGCCCCTAGAAAAAGTGTTTAGGGTTTAGGGTTTAGGGTTTAGGGTTTAGGGTTTAGGGTTTAGGGTTTGTGTGTACCTTTCTGTATACTGAGGCAGCCAGAGACTCATCTGCGAGAAGCCCAGCCCCAGATGGGAGTCGAAGCCGGGGGGTATGTGGCCCGCTATCACCACCTGCACAACCACCAAACCCTAAACCCTAAACCCTAAACCCTAAACCCTAAACCCTAAACCCTAAACCCTAAACCCTAAACCCTAAACCCTAGATAGAGATGAAAACACCCACCTGCTGCCCCTGCTCACGCGCCTCCTGCAGCTGCTGCTCCATCCACTCAAATTGCCCGGCTGTACATACACGCAGACGCCTAAACCCTAAACCCTAAACCCTAAACCCTAAACCCTAGACCCTAAACCCTAAACCCTAGTCTCTAGACGCTAGACCCTAAACCCTAAACCCTGGAGCCTGAAATAAGCTGAAGTGGGCCTGGTTGGGGGCCGTGTTCTCATCAGTTTTAGGGTTTAGGGATTAGCGGCTAAGGGTTTAGGGTTTAGGGTTTAGGGTTTAGGGTTTAGAGTACCTGGGTCTGTGTCGTCTTCTGTTTCCTCTTTTCTTGCTTCTTCTTTTTCAGTTTGCTGCTCTGTCTCTGCTGTTTCTATCTCTCCCTGTGTCTCCTCCTGTTTCTGCTGCAGCAGCTCCTGCTGCTGCTCCTGCTGCTGCTGCTGCTGCTGCTGCTGCTGCTGCTGCTTCTGCTGCAGCTGCTGCAGCTTCTTGCGCGCCTCAGCAGCATACAAAAGGGTGTTTAAACACAAAACCCTAACCCTCGGCTGCCCCCGCAGAGAAGTAGAGTAATATAAGCCTCGAAGAAAAGACTGCATGCATACATACACACAATACTGCTGCTGCTGCTGCTGCTGCTGCTGCTGGTGCTGGTGCTGGTGCTGGTGCTGCTGCTGCTACTGCTGCTGCTGCTGCTGCTGCTGCTGTTGCTGATGCTGCTGCTGCTGCTGCTTTGGCTTTTGTTGCTGATGCCGCAGCAGATTCTGTTATTGCTGGTGCTGCTGTTGCTGTGGGTGTTGCTGCTCTTCTCAGCGACCAAAAGAAGGGTGCCGAAGGCACCCCATCATATGGGTCTAGGGTTTAGG